AAGAGGGCAGTAGCTAGGTTGCTGGAAGAATTCTTCCATTCACCTATCTGCGTCTACAGTGAGGACTAGGGTGACATAAGCACAGCGGGCATGTAATTTTTCACAGCCCTGATATTGCCAGGTTAACTTAAGGTTTAGAAGGTATAGACCAGGCCTGACTGCTGCATATTCAGTTTCACCTTATTTGAAAAATTCACAATCCAAAAGTAACAGGCAAAGAAGATGCTGACACTTTTCCAAAAGGAGAAGAGAAAAAGAGATACCATGGTTCTCTCTAAGCTGCACAGCTGCCTAATAAATCCCACATGGGGTGCAGGGCTGTCATGCATGGAGCTGCCACAGCTAGGAGAGGGACCCCCATCTCCACCATGTGTGGCAGCTCCCTGCTGAGGCCAGGGGAGCACACCTTCTCCCTCTTACTGCCCTCCTTCCCCCTGCCATCCACAGCAGCTCTTTCAGCCCCAGCAGAGAGCTCATACAGCCGCGGCAGAGGCACGCTCCTCCAGCCCCAGAAGCAGCACTGGATTAAGAAAGGGGCTTTGCTCCTGATGGGCGGTGTAGGGGGGAGAAGCAGCTCTGCCATGGAGCCATGACCCTGGAGCTCCCAATGACCAGGAATCGCAGGCAATGGGAGCTGTCAGTAGGCAGTGCTTGCAGATGAGTGTGGGGCAGCCCTGAGCCACCTGTCCCTTCCTCCCTCAAATAAGAGCTGACCCAGGGAAGAGCCTTGCATCCCAATCCTCTGCCACAGCACTGAGCCCCCTCCACTATCCTAACTCCCTCTTAGACCTCAACCTCGAACCCCCTCCTGCACTCTAATTCTTGCTAAGACCCCACATCCCCACCTGAAATTCCTGTCCTGAGCCTGCTCGCACACTCCATAGTCCTTGGCCCCAGCCTGCAGCTCCCTCACACACCGCAAACACTACTTCCCAATCTCCACCCCAGGGGGCACACCCCCAGCCAGAGCTCTCACCACCCAATCCTGAGCACCCTCCCACACTCCGATCCTATTGCCCCACCCCCACCACACATCCTCTCCATATTGGTGCACATTACAAAATTCATTCTGCACATGATGGACATAAAAAAATTAGAGGGAACACTGCTAGAAACCACTAGTCCTTTTGCTAATGGGTGGGAGAGGACGATCCAAGCAGCTGGACTACTTAGGTCTCTCTCACAGGGTACATCTTAACAGCAACATTATTTTGAAATAACTTAGTCTGCATCTACACAGCAGGCAATTATTTCAAAATAATGTTGAAATACTGTCAAGCTGGAGGACTTCTTACTCCGACTTCTGTAACCTTCATTATCCGAGGAGTAAGGGAAGTAGGAGGAAGAGCACGCTATTTCAAAGTAAGTACTGTGTAAAGTCTCCCAATTTTGAAATAAGCTACGCAATTGACCTAACTCAATTTGCGTAACTTATTTCGAGTTACGCCCTGCTGTGTAGATGCACCTGCAGAGTCAAGTAAATGTAGTAAAAGTATATGAATGCAGAAGTGTCTGAGAATAAAAAAGGTGGATGGTACAAGTTATGAAAGAAGAAGACTACTGAGAGAAAAGTATAATATAAGGAAAGTAAAAGCATAATGGAAGTAAAGAGACAAGAATACAAGACACAAAACAATGGAGTGAAAGATACGCTGGGTTCAACTCTCTGCTCAACTACAGGCTTCCATTGTGATCACTGGGCAAAACACTTAATCTTATCATACCTCAGTTCCTTTTCTATTACATGGAAATAATAATACTTATTTTTTCCATACATTGCCTGGTTATCTATTCAAAGTGCAAGTCCTTTGGGACAGATCCTGGTTTTACTCTGTGTGTATAAAATGTATAGCACAATGGAATTCCAATGCCAGACATGTCAGATCAGTGCAGCTGGGTATTTTCACCTGTGTGAAGCCCTGTTGCATCTGGCAGAGCTCCCTGCACACCAAGCTCCTCAAAGATCGTCTTGTAGGATTTGGGCCAAAATATGCATTTCCGTGTACGACATAACAAAAAAAAAAAAAGGTTTGCCTATCACGGATTTCACTGAAGCCTATTGTTTTCGGTGCCCAATAGGCGCAGAGAAACACGGAACGAGACCAGCGCTATTGTCAAACAAAGCACCACACCTTAAGTGTGTCCAAAACACCTCGGTTCTTAAACGTCTGATAAAGCCTTTTCCGGAGCTCGTCTTGAGACAACGCTTCACATTCAGCGGAAGCCATCCTGGGCAAGAATGTCAGGAAACACCGTTACCGAGCCCACCCGCAGGCACCCAGCAGGCACC